CCATTTAATGCAATATGGTAGGTTTAGAGTGTGTGTCAAGCCTTAAGAGGAAGGCTTGTCCTTCGCTACAGTGAATAGTATAAAAGCACTATTCAAGAGCAAACATCCTTACCTAAAGTTGGTGGACAAAGAGTCGACTAGTCGGCTCCGTACAGTACAACTTTTGTAAGGGTATGGGTTTTGTCCTTTGTGTGCATAAGGACAAGACAACAACAATCGTGCTAAGCAAGCTTTCTTTGATCACTGAATGCTGGAATGACCTGAAGGTCTCATCATCATTCGCTGAAGCATGAGTAGTCTTCACATATATGTAGACAGGCTTGTAATCACTGAATACCGCTTCAGATCATGTACTCGCCGGTCTCTAATCTTCAGTTTCAGTCTTCGACGTTTGCTGAAGGTTCTTTGGTGTGAGTGTTGTCTTCTTGAAGTATTGCTGTCTCTGATAGATTTATAATGCAAATTCTTCAGCGATCACTGAACATACACAGTGAAGATCGCTGGAACTGAAAATACAGAAACACAAATACAACGTGAAAGAGAAAAGGGATTATCATCAAATCACTGAGAGAGAGGATCAACAAGTATTCCTTTTTAGACTTGGCCTACCCAAAATCTAAATTATTTCTTTTCAGACTTAGCCTATCCGAAGTCTTAAGTCCTCCTTTTCAGACTTAGTTTACCCAAAGTCTGAAGTCTTCTTTTTCAGACTTAGTTTACCCGAAGTCTGAAGTCTTCTTTTCTAGACTTCTATTTTTTGGCCTAATTATCTTTAATAAAACTTGATATTGTTTTAAGGACCAGAGGGGCTCTGGGTGACTAGAGGGGCTCTGGGTGACTAGAGGGCCTCTGGTTGGTCTGGCTTTAGAAATGACTTTGCTTTTAGTTGTTCATTTGAACCTTGGAGCACTTGTAAGATGATCCATGAAACCTTCACACAGATGGTGTGCATATGGTCTTTGGGATAATGTGATGTTACTTGTACTTGCATACTATTTATAAGTACAACTTTTGTATAAAGATTTTGTGGAAAATTTTAGTAGCTACTTTTATCATGTAGCTTTTGTATATGTATTTGGAACCGAATGTGTATTTGTATTTCTTGTTATATGAAATACATGATTATATGGAAATGTGGATCATGAGGTGGTACATTCAAACATCACTATAAAGAAAATCAAGAGGGCCCTTAGATTGTAAGGTGTTTTGAGAGAACGAGAACTTATGACTTTTATAGCGATCACAATAATTTCAACGAAAAACAACAAACTTAGGAGTATTCAAATTGAAAGAGTTGCTAATATAACATAAAATAGAATAAGAGGAATGGCCCAATAGATGATGCCAATCGGTAGTGGATACCATTTTGGCAAAGTGAATGGTGGGATGAGTGGGTTGCCATTCATAAATTTCTGATCTAGTTCGGCCTTGGACAAGGGGTGCCTCCATGCGAAGATCCTTCACAAGATAAGATGTAGGTGAGAATGTAACTGATGCATTATTATCTTGGCAAAATTTAGAGATTGAGATAATATTATGAGAAACTGAAAGTACATGTTATATATTATTAAGATGCAGTTTAGAAGTGGGAGTAAGAAGAGTGTTGAACAATGTTTGAGATGGCTAGGCCCGAACCATCGCCAATAATAAGTTTCTCCGGGAGTGAAGTGCAAGGATGGAAAAAATCATGAGTGACATGATGTGTCGCACCACTATGAAGAAACTAACTATTGGATGAAGTTTCTGAGAGAGCAACGACATAGGCATGTGGAAAAGAAGAGATTGGATGATAAAAGGAGGGTGATGGTGGAACTGCGTTTTAGAATTGAGTACGAAAGATAGGGCATTGCAAGACGGTGTCCAGTTATGCGACACCGTTGACAAAAACCCTTGAATGGCTGGAGGGAACGGTTTGGGATAAAAGCAGAGAATATATTTTGGATAATAGTAAGAAGACAAAAAAATATGGATCTTAAGCTTTGATATCATATAGAAGTAAGAATGTAATTGAGTGAAAAAACTTAATCGTATTATTACTTGTGAGTGTATATATATATATATATATATATATACATCTTGAGTAAATCGTAACTTACAATCAAGTGACTATGAGAGAAAATTCAATTAATATAGGATTGATTGTGAGTATTTCTATCATGTCCCATCAAGATGAACGATCGAATAATGAGACCAATCTTGAACACAAGTTCGTTAAACCGTGTTCCTACAAATGGCTTAGTAAAAACATCAGCTAGTTGATCCTTCACCAGAAATATATGAAACATATCAAACACGTTGTTGTATGCCAATCAAACCTGATAAAGCAAGGAAATGACACATTTTATTATTTTGCTCATTCAATTAATTTGTCATCTAATTTTAATTTATTACTTCAAACTTATGCTTATTTATGGTTCTTATTTGGACAAATAAACATGAAATTATATTAAATAAACAAAGTTTTTACTATTTTTGATATATTATCAAAGGGTCTTTCTTGTTAATTATATGTTTAATTATCTATTTATACTTGTGACTCAACTTCTATTTGATTGTCTAACTAGACTTGGGATCATGTGAGACCAAAGGTTTTTTGTAAGACATGTAATACCAATTCTCAACCCTTTGATTAGATCTACAATCTGAACATTCATAATCACAAAATTTCCACGAGACTTCTCAATAATCACAAAATTGTTACCGTGTAACTTTAGGCCATTAGATCATTAGCTTATAAAGTTGATCAATGAACATAAATTGGTCTTACGGGTCTCACGAAAAACCCTTGATCTCACGTGAACCCAACCCTATCTAACCATAGTCATATGTCGTTAATTGCTCAGTCTTCTATTCCAACTTTTATAATAACTACTGTTAGTTAACAATTATTTAACAAAAAAAAAATATTTTCTTTTCCAATGATCTTGTTAATCTCAAAATCATAATTTTTTTCTCACAATACTTGAAGTGGTTACATCAGATAAATATTTTTATAAATTTTACATACAAATAATTATACTTTCAATATTTATGGTTTTACTGTTACAAAGTTAAAAAAAATTATACTTCATGCAACCAAATCTATGGTTGCAAGTGATACCATAGTCAAGCATATAGATCTGCCTCTCTTCGTAACAATGTTAAATACATGCAGTTATAACCACAAGGGTGGTGCCTGATTGGTTTGAGTTTGGCTCCAAAGATCAAAAATAACAGGAGGTCTCAGGTTCAAATACAAGGAGTAATAAAAATCTCATTGTGCCCACAGAGGTTCAAATGCGGTGACTCCGGACTATCTGCAAAGCAGATGGTCGTCCTGCAATTAGTCGGCTCCCATAACAGGTTGGATATCTAGATTAATTAAAAAAAGTACATGCAGTTATATGTTTCATTAAGGTAATTTTAATTAAATTGTGTAATTATTAACTTTTCCATATATTCATAATCGTTAATTAATAATAATATACAAAAAATAAGTGGACGAGGGTTGATCATGACTTGGACTAAAATACCACGACCATAAACACATTTTTAGCCAATTATTCAAAATTTTCCGATAATTTTCTACAATTTTATGTTTTTCCATGTTCCTTTTTTTAGTTTCTATTTGCATTTTCTGCTATAAAAGGAAGCCATGTTGTGTGATCACTTCTTCAACTTAGCTAAACAACATCATAAAAAGAACATTTAGGGTTTCCAAAAAACTACATATCGAAGATGGGTTCGGTGATCAAAGCTCTAATCTTGATCGCTACGGTTGCATGTCTCACCTCAGTTGCTCATTCCATTGCTGGCCAAGCCACTTTCTATACTCCTCCCTACGTTCGTAAGTATATACCAATGACTGTGATAAAATAAATCTATTAACGCCTAAGTAACTTATTTTGAGCTTTTTCTATTGTGTTTCATAGCATCATCATGTTTTGGCTACCAAGATCGTGGTGTTATGATTCTGGCGGCAAACAGGGGATTGTTTGCTGGTAGAGCTGCATGTGGGAGGAGGTATCGTGTACGTTGCACTGGTCCAACCAACGCAGGTGTTCCACAACCATGCACAGGAAAAAGTGTTGATGTTACGGTTGTAGATCTGTGTCCTGGGTGTGCAGGAAATCAAGTTGACCTTTCTCAAGAGGCATTTGCAGTGATCGCTAATCGTAATGCTGGAAGAATTAATATCCAATATAACCAGTAACTACACCTAAAACCCTTCTTTTCTTTCTCAAATTTGATCAATTATTTTCTTTTACTTTTGACTAATTTTGTTGTTTTTGTGATTTTCAAGATATGAAGTTATAAACAATATATATGTACAAGACGCCAATAATAAGCTCCCCTAATGAGTTTTCATTAGAATATTTGATACCAGTCACATTGTAACCATCTTCCTCTAGTTCTCGTGATAATGTATTAATCTATCGAATAAAACTATGGCACATACTTTTTCTATATAATTTGTTATGTTACATTTTATATGATGACGACAAACTTCTAAAAAATGAGGCTGTTCAACTTAATAAATGGTCGACATGAATCTGCTTTACCAAGTCTTTAGGCTTTGTTATCGAATGTGGGATGTGGAATTTTACGTTAAAAATGGAATAATAACGAGTTTGCTCAAACGACTACGAAGCTAGATCCGAATTGCTTGGTTGCCTGTGACATTATGATATGTACCAAGTGATAATTAAGTGGAAGATATATTTTCTTTGCAGTCAATTTATTGCAACCCACTTTCACTAATTTTTGGTGGTTAATACATCAAATGATCGTTTTTCTAATAAAAAGTCAAGTAAAATGGAAATTAAAAAAGTCAATGATACAAAATAAAGTACAATGACGATGTCGTGCTTGATCGATCCATCGTTAGTGGTACTTAGGATGAAGGTTCTAAATGACGTAAATTTGGCGGTGAGGTCACAACGTTTTTCAATGCATGACTTCTGACGACTAATCTATATATTATATATAAACATATGTTTTCTACTATAACTCAATTAGTCAAATGATATTATAAAATTTAAATTAGGTCATATATATATATATATATATATATATATATATATATGTTAAAAACTAATTAACAAGCAAAACAT